TCTCTCTATTTCACTCTCTGTGTCTCACACTGTCTCTCTCTCTCTCTCTGTTCTAGTGTTAATCTCTCTCTCTATTTCACTCTGTGTCTCACACTGTCTCTCTCTCTCTCTGTTCTAGCGTTAATCTCTCTCTCTATGTTTCACTGTCTGTGTCTCACACTGCATCTCTCTCTCTCTCCACCCCCCACCCTGTCCTGAGATATTTGTGGGACGGTGTGAGTATGTTACTGTCCCCCTGTCTGTGTTTTAAGGAACCCCTGAACGGTGGTGTTGCCGTGGTTACAGCTACTGGTTGTTCTCGCTGTAGTGTTGTGTGTTGCCTGGTGAAGCTACAATTGAAGATTTTAAGCAGTGGCCAGTCCCAGAACATTGAAATACAGAAGATAGGAGCAGGACGAGGCCATTTGGCCCTTAGAGCCTGCTCAAGTTGTTGGGACTTTGTTGGAAGAAGGTTCCGGATCATCTGGAGAATCCTTGAGCAGGGGGGAATTAGAAACCGTTACCCCTCCTTCCCCGCCCCTCCCCGAGCAGCATATTATTAACTCTCTAACAGCCATCAGTGGTAAAACCTGCTCCCACCTCATTCTTCAACAGAAACCATATAAACAGGATGGAACTGCCCCCCTTTTCTGGTGAGGGATTTACCTTCAGTGAACCACACTCTCGACCCTCCCCGCCCCAAATACTCATTCCCCCACCGTTAGGCAGACAACTCGCACACCGTTCTCTCTTCATTCGTATAGCCACGGCTTCTTCCCTTGTTCCCTCAGAACACATCCGATCAGAAATCCCAGGTGCTGGCCCATCACATAGAGCGGTGTTCACTATCGCTGTACTCGGGGTTCACAATCTCCCCGCCGCAGCCTCTCGGGATGATGTTTGTTATAGATCTGAGCCGAGGGTGTAGACTCTGTGCTTGAGCTGAGCTAAAATCCATGTTGTTTTCTCTCTTTCCCAGTATTTTTGCTTGCTGCTCTTTATCTTTGTTCTGGAGATCCTGGCGGGTATCCTGGCCTACGTCTATTACCAACAGGTAAGCTGTTGAGGGGGGGGTCAGCTCGGGTACATTGACAGAGCGAGTCATCGTTTCCCGGCCCTGTGAACACACGGGGATCTGAGTCCCTGGCTAGTTCGGATTTAACCTGCACCAGCTCGAGGATGAATTGAGAGGGAGTGATTTGAAAAGGGCTGTTTTGACTGAGCCCTCCACAACATGTGGTTTGTTTGCTGTGTCTGACGGTGAGGGAGCTGTACAACTGACTGATCACTGACTGAGTGATCTGTACAGAGGGTTCTCACTGCTTCTAATGTCCAATTACTGCTACCCACTCCATCCTGCTGCTGGCCACACTGTCCACTGAAAGCTTCCAGCACATTTTCCCAGCTCCAAGGAGAGGAATGACCCATTACCCCCCCTCCCAACCCCCGACACAATTCCCCCTTTTCCCAGTTGAGATCCGCATCTCCTGCGGCCTCTTTCCCTCAGATGCTGCCCAGAATGGAAATATCCCAGCAGCTCCCTATCCTGTCCTTGCAAAAGGCGAGAGCCAGTTCTCATTTCCCTCCTGCTCAGGAGTGTGTATCCGTTTCCAAACAGTCTTCCTGATGCCTATCCCACTGCTACCTAATCGACGTGAATCTCCAGGTCCGTCTCCTCCCTCAAAAACACGGTTTTGTTTCTATTCTCACGTCCCCTGTTTCCACCAAAATGTAGCTCTTCACACAAGCTGCTCTTGGGAAAGTCAGCACAGAATGATCCCACATGGCATCAACCTAGGCACCTGGCAGAAACAGCCCTGTCGACACTGCAAAGTCCTCCTCACTAACATTTGGGGGCTAGTGCAAAAATTGCGAGAGCTGCCTCATAGCCTCATCAAGCAACAGCCTGACATTGTCATACTCATGGAATCATACCTTACAGAGAATACTCCTGACACCACCGTCACTATCTCTGGATATGTACTGTCTCACCAGCAGGACAGACCCAGCAGGCACAGTGGTATACAGTCGGGAGGGAGTTGCTCCAGGAGTCTTCAACTTTGACTCCGGACCCCATGAGGTCTCATGGATTCAGGTTAAATATGGGCAAGGAAATGAACTGCTGAAATGTACTATCCTCCCTCAGCTGATGACTCATTACTCCTCCATGTTGAATAACACTTAGAGAAAGCACTGAGGATGGCATGGACACAAATGTACTCTTGGTGGCGGATTTCAATGTCCACCACCAAGAGTGGCTCAGCAGCAGTACTACTGATTGAGCTGGTTGGGACCTAAAGGAGATAGCTGCTAGACTGAGTCTGCAGCAGGTGGTGAGGGAACCAACAAGAGGGAAAAACATACTGGACCTCATCTTTACTAATCTGCCAGCTGCAGATGCATCTGTCCATGACAGTATCGGTAAGAGTGACCATCGCACAGTCCTTGTGGAGATGAAGGCAATTGTACTGAAGGCTTGTGCTCCTGAACTTGCCAATCCCCTAGTCAAGCTGTTCCAGGACAGATACTAGAATTGGCATTTAGCCGACAATGTGCAAAATTGCCCAAGTATGTCCTTACACAAAAAGCAGGACAAATACAACGTGGCCAATTACCGCCCCATCAGTCTACTCTCAATCATCAGTAAAGTAATGGAAGGTGTCATCAACAGTACTATCCAACAGCATCTGCTCAGCAATAACCTGCTCAGTGACGCCCAGTTTGGGTTCCACCAGGGCTACTCAGCTCCTGACCTCATTACCTTGGTTCAAACATGGACAAAAGAGCACCAGAGGTGAGAGTGACAGCCCTTGATATCAAGGCTGTATTTGACCGAGTGTGGCATCAATAAGTCCTAGCAAAACTGGAATCAACGGGCATCAGGAGGCAAACTCTCCGGTGGTTGGAGTCGTACCTGACACATAGGAAGATGGTTATCAGAGGTCAGTCATCACAATCAACATCCTGGTGTTTACCATTGACCAGAAACTCAATAAGA